ACTTGCTAGTCGTGGGTTGAGTTTTTTCAATAATATTCACCGTTAAAAAAAAGTAATTTCATCACTGTCATTCATTATGTATATTTTCTATTTCAATCTGTTTATCATGTGTTCTATTTGAGAAACCTTCCACATGTTATTCTTTTATCTTTGAACTAAACAGATCAACTTAAGTCCTATCTCAATCTACGCTATATTACAGAAAAGTTCGCATGGTTCGTATATTTATAAGTATTCGTTTTACTTATAGAAAACCAATACGTATCTATTGTTGTAGGTGTGATCGTGTGTCCTAAAATTTAAGTTAATAAAGTTACTTGAATTATCGTTAATTCGTTCAATTCAGACAGTCATATAATATGATTGTGCATCGTAAAGTTTAAGTTAATAAAGTTAACGGACTTATCGTTCATTCGTTCAGTTTAGACTGTCCTATAAGTGTGGTTTTCCATCCTAAACTTTATGTTACTAAAGTTACCAAAATTATCTTTCATTCGTTCAGTTCAGAACATCCTATAAGTGTGACTGTGTGTCCTAAGATTTAAGTTAATAAAGTTACCGGACTTATCGTTTGCTCGTTCTGTTCGGATCGTCCGATAAGTACGATTGTGCGTTCTAAAATTTAAGTTAATAAAGTTACCAGACTTATCGTTTATTCATTTAGTTCAGACTATCCTATAAGTGTGATTATGTGCCGTAAACTTAAAGTTAATAAAAGTACCTAACTTATCGTTCATGCATTCAGTTTAGACTGTCCTATAAGTGTGAGTGTGCATCCTAAAATTTAAGTGATAATGTTTACTAGACTAATCATTCATTTGTGTAGTTCAAATCGTTCAAAAGTCCAATTACGAGTCCTAAACCTTAAGTTATAAAGTTTACTAGACTAATCATTCATTTGTTGTATAAAAACTACAATAAAAGTTTTCTAACAAAAATTGGACAGCATAATGGCTGTATTTTGACAAAAACCATGTTTTACACAATGTAAAACCTCAATACCAAATAACGTACAAGTTCATAAAGCAGTAAAAATATCATTTATGAGTAAACATGACAATTAACGACTATCTTGAAAGTTATATTTACAAACGATAAATTAATTATTATTGTTTATAAATATCACAAAACAATATCTTTATTTATTTAAAACACTAAAAATACGGATCATTATGTTTTGTTATATATATATATATATATATATATATATATATATATATATATATATATATGGGTTGATTTAGTTCGTGTTTAACAACCATTTCTTATATGTAACAAAAATATTGAATTATATAAACTTTTAACAAACATATTAGTGTTTATACAAATGTGATGACGAGTTGTGCATGTATTCTTCCTCGAAAACATAAAAGCTTAAATGGGGCTGTTGTTGGGATACATATTTGTATAGATTTAATGATGCAAAATATATACATTATAGTTATAGTTTTACTGCTCATTGTAGATAGTTAGTCTTGTCTAAGCAAGGCTAAATAACACAACTTAGACAAGCTAATCTGTCAGAGTTTTTTATATGAAGATATAATAATGCACATGAAGACTGATATTAAAGATATATGTTAGTTCTCTAGTCCAAATGTGAAGACTGAAGACCAAATCTAAGCTGCGTTTGCTGATTAGATCTAGAACATTTATGTAGCTTCTGATGAAGTTTTGGTACTAATGAATGTCATCCCCTGATGACCAAAAGACACTAAAAACACTATTAGCACCAAAGGCACAAAGTGACCATTCACTGAAGGCTGGTCAGTGTGTCTATACGCTGAAGGTCTTATACCGATGACACACTGATTATATGATTTACTGCTGACACACACTGATGGTTATACAATAGTTGAAGCTGAAGCTGATCAGCGTGACTTCCTGACGGTGACCATGATACCAGGATTAGTGTATGTCTTGTTGGTGCTGATGTCCGAATATGGAGCAGATCATAATTACTTGGTGAAGAAGCATTCAGAAGATCTGATATAATATGTTCCTTAAATACCAGATTTGCATTTATCATTGCAGATTCAATCCCTTCAACTCAAGGATTTGATTTAAACGGAAGATCTGGAGAATCTGCAGAACTCTTATCTCCTAGATTTAGACTACTATTTATACTAGCCTCTCTCATTAGTTGAGAATTGATGATTTGTATGGGTTTTGTGATAGAGAGTCGTTGTAGAGTAGATTTAGAGTTCTTGATGAGTTTTGAATCATTATAGTCGTTCTCTTTGTGAGAAAATTTTTCTTAGTGAAATACCTGATAAATAAAATTAGGTTTTATTTGTCAAATACCTATGTTATTATTCTGCATTTCTATTAGATTCATACACAAGTGTGAGGGTTTTGGGACCTTTCAAGTGGTATCAAAGCAGGGTAGAAAAGGCATTCTAGGTTCTATTCAAGATTCAGAAGTTCCAAACACTATTCAAACTCAAAAATCAGAAGAAGAAGAAGAAGAAGAAGAAGATATCATATACAATCATCAAGATATGAAGAATACGACAAAATTTCAAAAGAGAGAGTATGACATGTTTTATTATCTTTCATACTGTCTAACTACATCAAGTATGTGTGGTCCTTATAATGTCTTTCAGATGAGAGAATATTTTTGAAGTGGAAGGAACAACAAAGATACAAATGTTTGTGATGAAAAATAAAACAAAGAAAGTTCGAAAAATAAAAGGGCAGCCAATACAAGTCCTTTATCAGGTTTTCATGAATTGATGTATGACCCAAAGGCACCTCTATCTGTGTTATTCATTGCTGAATTAGATCTAAATGACAAAGTCATCAATCAGAAACAAGAAGATATTGAAATATTGAAAAAGGATCTGGTTGAAAAGGAGCAGGAGATATCAGATTTGAAGGAGAAGATTAAATAAAAACATGTGAAGAATAAAACCTTTTCTTCTTTAAGTGTTCAACTTGAAGATGTACCTGAAGAATGTTCATCATCAAGAAACCCTAGTCTTTAACCTGGTGAACATCATAAAAACTCTTGTACTAATAAGCCTCATACTAATAGGTACCGTGCTGAGAATCCTCAAGTTGCCCATAATCGAAAAGATTCATTAGAATCTATCCATCTTTTCAAACGACCCACTCCATCATTTTCTTCTCAAACTGGAATGACTTTAGTTCACTCTCTAGAGAAATATCACGCTGACAAGGTTGTTCACACTACCAAGTGGAGTCTCGCAACTAAGAAAGTTTACACTGCCACTCTAGTTCTCGCTGCTAAGAAGTTTCGCACAGTAAAGTCTTCACACATTGACAAGTCAGTTTCCACTGTCAATGAGTTCACGCTGACAAATCACTTCACAATGATAAGTTTGTTCACATTGCAAAGACATCTCACAATGTCAAACCATCTCAAGCTGTAAAGACATCATCTCTCCCTGTCAAGACTCAAGCTCCAGGTCCAACCACAAACATCAAAAGATCTCAAGAAGGTAAATTCTCTAACATTTGTTCTTGTTTAATAAATTCTTTATAGTGCAAGAGACACAAACACAAAGAAAAAGATGTCGGGTCACACAAAGCTAAAGAAGGTATGGGTTCCAAAGAATCCATCTTCGTAACCAAGGAAGATGAAGCAAGTTTGGGTTCCAAAGAGTACATCTTTTGAACCTGAAACAAAGCCATCCAATGGAGTTAGAAAAAAAAGCATTTTAATCAAAAGTTTCCTGGAAAGACGAGAAGAGTTAAGAGACCTGGAGCCAATGTCCTTCTTTCAGATCAGAAATGTTCAGAAGAAGTGAGGTGTGTTCCAAAACCCAATCTCAAATGGGTTCTTAACTATTCTTGTTAAATTCGAAGTAATGAGAGAGACTATGAAGTATTCAAAGTTCATGATTAATTGTCTCTCTCCCTCACTAAAAAGTGTGTCTATATTGCTTTAATTATTTATTATTCTAAAAGATTTTTTGAAGATTTCTTCAATTAATTCTTGTCAAAATATTTTTGTACAAGATTTGTTCATAAGTAGTAGATGCAAAAGCTGCAAGTAGTATCAAATGGTTTTATTCTTTTAAAAGTGATCATGGGGTATTATGAAGGATATTCTGACACTATTTTCTAGAAAGAATCATTTTCTCCTTTATTAATTTCTGGGGAAGATGATTTCAAAGGATGTAGCCGTTGGCTTTTTCTCTAGAAAGGTAGAGGTACCACATTGTTTAAGGAAAGGAAGATAAAGGTCTAAGTATTACAAAAGCATTCTTAGATGGTATCAAAAGCATGTCCATGTGTTTCGATTCTCAAGGATACACTCATGGGTTCTTTTCACTGCATTAAGCAACATGTTCACGAGGCTAGCTTCAGGTCTAGACAAAAAGGAAGAAAATGACATCTTATTATGTAATTCCATTCTTGAAATCTGTCTCAAGTCAAGAATAAAGGGCATGGTTGTTGTTCCTTTTGGTAGCATGGGTTGTCATAGAATACATTTAAGTTTGCTCAAAAGGGTTAGTTTCGTCCATGCAGCCGATGTTTGCAGAAAAAGTTGTCAGCTAAGTAAAAAAAAAGACAAAACATGGATATTATGGTCTTTAATGACTTCACCAGCTCTTAGTGGAACAAGAATTTGTTCTCGATTTTTGATTTAAAAAGAGAAAAGCCATTCATTGCTCTCTAGACTGTTATGCATGAAGAGTATATTTCATGAAGTAATTGAAGTATTTTGTAGTCCTTTGATAGTCCTTATCCACTGGTTATTAGTATCACATGTATCTTTGTATTAATGAAATGTTGTTTTCCATTTTCTCTATTCGATTTGTGGTATCTAATGGTGACAAGGGCAAAAAATGTGGGGAAAATACCGGCTATAGTCATTTTTAAGGGGGGTATTTCAAATTTAGTCACAAAAACAAACCTTTCCGGCTATAGACATGCATTCTGCGGAGGACCCTCTACGAGCTCCGCGGAACGACGAATTCTCCGCAAAGAGGGGGTATTTTCGCAATTTCCCCCTCCCATGTTTGAAAAAAATGGGTCTCCTCTTTGGTCCCTCACTGGTCTCCCCGATTCCTCTTCCACTTCGACTTTTCGTCCCGTTTTTCGTTCGTGTCTGCGCATCGGTAGACTTTTCCGATTTTCTGGCTAGAACGAGTTCAAACTCGGCGACAATGAGTTCAAGGACGTCATATTCTGGCGACAACGATTTGAACCAGCAAAATCCAACACAAATGGAGCGTAATTTCCCTAATATTTTCACCGATGGATACGACTCCCGGGTATTTTTCACATTTCCCTCTTTGGATTAATGTCGTATTGTATATATTTGGGATTCAAATGTTACGAAAATGGAATTGATAACCTTCAATATGTACAAATTTAGATTTTAGGAGTAACTGGTTTTGAATTTGCGAAGATCCATTCCGCGGAGGGGTAGGTCACTCCGCAGAGGGACCTCCGCAAATTGAAACAAAAAGAGAAAAATGTCCCTCCGCAGAGGTATAGGTCACTCCGGAGAGGGGTCTCCGCGGAATGACCTTAAATGCATTTTTTCCCTTTTTTTGTACCCTTTTATATTAACTATTTATTAAATAAAAAGTACATTGCTATTTTTTTGATAAACCGAATTAGAAAAGTAATTTTCAAACTTTGTTTTTTATTTTGAATTTATAACGTTTTATATTAAATTAAATGTATATGTTTTGTAGCACGATGATCTCAATCAAAAAGCAGATTTAACTTTAAAAGGCGTGGCCGGTACGATCATTAAAGACTATTTTCCGCGCCTAACATAATCGCAACGAGTATTATCTGAAGTTTCGCCGTTTGGAAAATTCTTAGGAATGCATGTACCCCATGGCGACCCCTTACTTGTGCATTTGATGATGTTGTATGAAGTAAGGTCTCAACAAGTGTTTGAAATGGGGAGGTTTCTTTTTGAGATACACGGGATGCAGTTGGATTTTGGTGAAACTGAATATTTTTTGATTTGTGGTTTAAGATTTGGTCCTTATGTGGATTTAATCTATGACGAAAGAGGCTGGTCCAATTCAAATCTTCATGCTCGGTTGTTTCCAGAAATTACAGATGCACGTTTGTGGCTCAAAGATTTAGAAGACTACATTATGTCTCTGAATTATTTGGCACTTCAGGATTAAGATGTTGTAATGCTTATCCAGCTTGTTTTTATGTTGAAACGTCTCCACGGACGGGACGTTAAAACAAGCATTCTCGTGACAGTATACAAGCTTGCTGATAATATAGATGATTGGAACAGTTATTAAATTTAAAATTGTGTATAAATACAACAATAATTATAATAAATAAATTGAAAATTACAGGTTTGCATGGGGTACATATTTCTGGACCTATACTTCGGGGTTGATGCGTGGAATTTTTGAGAAAATAGAAAAATTTAGAATATTCAATCATGCCAATCCTGAATCCAAAAAAGTACACAAGTATACCGTTGCCAGTTTTATGCTTCTGTTTAAGTTTAGTTTCTAATGCATTTAAATAGTTATCATACTTTCGTTTTTTATACGAGAATAACATTGTACTTCGGTTTGTACTATATAATACCGTTGTACTTTCATTTTTACACTATAATAGCATCATACTTACCTTTTTTTTCCATATATATATGTATATTGGAGACGTTCCCAGAGGCAACCTAGTATTATATACGCACACCGACAGAATTGCCATGAATGAGGTCGTGGAGAAGTAAAACACCGTTATCTTGGGTTCAATGTTGTCGAATAATCAACGTGTCTGTGGTATGCTTTATATATTATAATTATATATAATTACAAATTCCAATGTTTTTTCATGTTAAACTAACAATCTGATTTTTGCAGCCTAACAACCATCCTATTGTTGTTGTGGCAAACGCGATGGAGCTCATGTTGTCGTTTTATATTCGCTACGTCAATTGGACTCTTAACCATGAAGAGTCTCCCCCACGGAAACATAATACCCCTATTGTTTCCTCGCCTCCCCGAAGAAAGAAGTACAAGTCGGAAACATCTTCGACTGAAATTGCCACAAATGCTTATTCCTCGCAACAATCTGAAGTAGAAAGAACTTATATGTCAAGCGACACATCAAGAAGGTCGGTAAAGAAGAAGAAGACGAGAACAAAGTCATTGGTGAAGCGTCTAATAGGCATTATGGCTGACTTAACTTCTAAAATAGACCGTGTATTACTGAAAAAAGATGAACCAGGTACAGGGGTTGGAGAGGAGCAGGACATGGGAAATGAAGAGGAGGAAGAAACATATTACCAAGGTACACAATTGGATTATGATGATACATCTACGCATGGTTTGGAGGGGGGGGGGGGGGAAGTTGGGCATACACCTACGCATGTTGAGCCGTCAACGGACTTGGGTGAACATCACAAAAAAACAGTGACTCTTATTGTTAGGTCGCAATGACAGACGGGTGTTGCATGGTATCAGCGAATGCCGTTCACAGTGGTACAAAACTCATATTTTAAATTTGGTGTATTTATAAAATATTACGTTATTGATAATTATTTAATATTTTAATTTTCTAGATGCAATCCACACCAAAATTGAAGAAAATCACCAAAGCAAGGAAAAAAAAGCAGTGGAGAGTCCTGAAAAAGAAAATGAAGACATTGTGAATGAAGAGAGTAATGATGTTTCAAATCATCTACTGTTAGACAATCTTTATGCTGCTAGTCTGTTGGGTTTTTGGATAAAATGGAATATGATCTCTTCCAACCTCAACACTACACACATGCTGCATATACTCCCACTAGATGTGGAGTTTTGGTCAAGGTTACTTGCAGTTACTGACTCTGGGTGGTTAATTTCTTCGGTAACATTCGTTAAATTTTAATTACTTTTTTAGACGATAATTTATATAAATAATTGTAACATTTTTATCTTAAAATGTATAGCATATTGCGATATGGAGTGACTTGCTCATGGAAAGACAGCCGGCGAACGCAATGTGGACGATATACCCTCAAGAACTCAATTTGCAACCTGAATTTTTTTTTTAGGAATGTAGCAAATGGTGTTGGAGGCTATCCTAAATGGAAGGATGTAGATATGGTTAGTTAAATTTAATAATTATTTATTTATATATCTAATATTACTGAATTTACGACTATTTAATTTTTTTTGTTTGCAGGTTCTATTCCCCATAAACGTTGTTGGTTTTCATTGGTTTTTGGTAGTGCTACGTTTAAATACCTGGAAAGTACACATTTATGATTCAACACGATCTATGGATTTCTTGTCAAAGTACTTGATTGGTGGAAAATTCAAAATTTTTGGGGATAGTATTATCTCAGAGCTAGATGTGATTGAGTACTGGAACGATTTCCCCGATGGACACAAAGCCAACGCAACTGTGGAGTTTGTTGATACTATAGACGAGCCACAACAAGAATATATTGAAGATAGAGGGGATTGTGGAGTATTCATATGCGTGTTTATGGAAATGAATGGTTCGGGGGTACCGATGAAGATTGATAAGCCACGTAGAGATGCGAGGTTTCTCTACAGAAATAGGATGACAAATATTACTTGGGATACTATATAACTTGATTTTAGGAACTTTGTATATATTAATATGAAATACCTGTTTTTAGTAATTTTGTTTAATACAAATATGTGTTTTATTTATTTTTGTTATTATATTTGTTTCATGGACTGCCAACTCACTTCCGCGGACTGTTATTTCACTAAAATGGCTCAAAAATATATTTCATTTCATTTAATCTATATCACTTCATCTACTTTGTATCTTTTACAATGGGTTCAAAACCATGGACTGCTGATGAGTATTTGCTTTTAACTCATGCATATATTATTGTCTACGAGAACAACAGTTTGGATGATACAATGTTTTGGATCCTTTTAACCAATACCTTCAACACTGACGTTGAAACCACCTTAGAAAACCATCGCAACACGCTTGATGTAGCAGCAAAATGGTATGAATTGAAAAAAAAAGGTGTTTTATTCAACGATCTCTATAAGAAGATTGAAGACGCACGTGTGAATGATACCGAGGAAGACATCTTGGAGGCGGCTAATGAAGAATACAAATCCATTAGCAACAGAGAGATTTTCGACTATGAAGCCCCTTGGAATCTTTTGAAAAATCTCCCGTATTTTTAACTTGTACTGCGTTTGTATTTCTTTATTTATATGTACTATGGTTATTATTTTTTTATTTTTTTGCGTTTGTATTATGTTATTTATCCTTTATTTTTTGAAACATAATGCACCAAAAAAATATTACGATACATTCAAACAAAAAAAAACATTACAAATAACATAAAAACATTACAAAAAAAAAAAACAGAAAAAAAAACATTACGAATAAGATGTACGACTGACAAACATTACATAAAACACTACAAATAAAAGAGTCCTCTACATGAAAAAAAGTTTATTTTTAACGATATTCCAAACGTCCGTATACTCGAACCCCTTATGCACTTAATGAAATGTTATTATACATTATTTCCAAACGTGCTGCATTCGGAGGTAATAATGAAATGTTATTATACATTATGAGATCATACTTTTTATTTGATGATTCAGTTCATTTCACAGGGGAATTTCATGGTCTTCTAACCCGTTATGCACTTAAGGTGCCTCAAAAAAGATTTATCCACTCCGATGGTTGTAGGGTTAGGCATGTTGTTGGTGACAGATATGAAGTGAGTAAGTATTTATCCACTCACGCTATAGCATCACTATAAAGGCTTGAAATTGAAGAAATCAAGCAAATGGTAAATTTAAAGTTAACTACCGCGGTGTATCGAAATGGTTTTCAAATCGAGACGGTGAATCCTATTCCAATCCTTATGCATTGAGAAATACCAGTTGAAAGTGTTGTCGTCTTACCTCCACGACAATTTACTTGAATTGTAATGTATGGATCACAACGAATATTAGTTTGAATTCAGTTTTATGTTAACCTTAGTTTTGGTCAGTTGGCGTTGTTTAGTTTTTAATAATAATGTTTACCTATTAATTAATAATGTTTACCTTTTAATAAATAATTGTAATGTATCGATGACAACGAATTGACAAACAGCTCTGCGGACTGACAAACAGCTCTGCTGAGTGACAAACAACTCTACAGACTGACAAACAGCTCTCTGCGGAGTTGAAGGGTCTATATATTGTCATGGATGATTGTTGATTTTTTGGTAAAGAGTTACAAATTATTTTGAATTTTAATATGAGTTCATCTTCAAATTTCTATATTTGCTCGTGCAACGAACTTGATTGTTACTATTGTGATCCGATCGACCCTTTTCTTGCACCGTCACCAAATATGAGAGGGCAGTATATGTCTGATGATACTTTGCAACAACTGCAATAGGCTGAAGAACAACATAAAAAAGATAAAGAGTCATCTTGGTCTCTTACTGAACGTCGTGACCTCATTGCGACAGAGTGCAAAGAGGCTGAGGAAAGGATACAGATTAATAAAAAAAATCAAAGATCATGAAGAATGGATAAAAAAGACTAAGAAGACTATTAAAATGACTGAAAAATGGCTTGCTGAGAAGGATGCAGAAATGATAGATATTGGGCGGTACAAGGATCGTTTTGAAGATAAAATAAGAATTAGGGACGACTATATAACAATGGAGAAAGATAATTATCCATTTCAATTCCCTTAAGTTAATAATTATTGTTGTACGTTTATTATGTGTTTTTGGTTTGTTATATGTATTATCTTCGAGTTTTAGTTATTACTCTACTAGTAATGATGCACTAATATAATCATAAAATTACCCATAATCTTTAAAGTAACCACACCATTTCAAAGTACACAATCAACGTATTCCAAAACATAACATACTTAATTATAAATACAACATCAATCATTCAAATCAAACGTTGAACATTAGTCTTCTCTTTGCATCCCTTGCGTCCTGTGCGTCTCTTGCGTCCCGTGCGTCTCTAGCGTCTCATGAGTCCCTTGTGTCCCTTTCCCTTTTATCTTACTACCTGACGTCACACTACTTTTTCTAGGCTTCTTTTGCTTCATTGGGACCAATTCCGGACAAGTCACTACATTATTGTTGTACTATCACATCTACTACACCTTCTTACTATAGGTTCCTCACCTTGTGACGGGATATGAGTTTTGTTTTTCGATCTACCAGCTTGACGTGTATCCATTTTCGATGGTTTAACAACCATCATCTTAGCAGGAATCTCCCAATCACATGGTTCTTGAAGGGGGTAAACCGCCTCCACATACGTACTTCGATACGTTTCCATTTTGTAAGCATCTAAATCCAGATATCCAACGTTAGTTTTTTTCAAGTGCTTTAAGACCATTATGACTTGACCATAAGACAAACCAGTTCCTTCCCAACATTTGCATATACAAGTCTCTTGCCTCAGATCAACTATGCCACCATGTTTGAAATCATGCAATTGATATATTGCATCTGAAACACCTGAAACGAACCATCCTATCGTACACTCTTCATTTTTCCTAACTACTTTTTCAGTCCACTCCGTTAGCACTATTGAACATTTCCCTGTAAAGAATATATATATATATATAATTAACTTATTATTCGACATAATTAAAGTCCAAATTAAAGTCATACCTCCATCGATGCGACGCTTGTTACACCATTCCTATGAAATACGACGAAAGAACTCAAGAAGGGGTATTATAGGCATTTTCCTTGCATCTACAGATAAGGCATTCATGGACTCTACACTATTGGAGGTCATGTAATCGTACCGTTTCGACGGGAAATACAGTCTAGTCCATCTAGCATGTGGAATTTCACTTAGGTACACCTCTACTTGCGGCCTAGTAGAACTAAATCTATACCACAAATCTTCAGATACATTTCTTTTGTAAGCTCTCATAAACCTCCAAAACAAGACTTTTGTTTTATCATTTTTCCCAAACCGGTGTACTATGTTTCCTAGTAGATGAAAAGCACACACGTCATGATGAGCGTTTGGGAAAACATTTTCAATACTAACGCGAATTGCATCAGCCTTATCAGTTACAAAGGTCAAATATTGACAATCACCAACGCATTCATACAACTTTTCAAGAAACCATGTCCAAGTAAGACGACTCTCTTTTTTGCATATTTCGTGCGCAAGGGGCAATATCTGGTTGTTCCCATCCATAGCTACTGCATGCAATATGGTTCCCTTAGAATCCCCCTTCAAATGGGCACCATCTATAATTATGACTTTACGACAAAAATGTTTGAATGCTCGTATCTGCAATATATTTGTATGGAACACATAAACACTCTACATTTTTTACAAATAAATATATATTAAATAACAACAAGTTTTTTGTATTTACCGTGCTCCCAATGGCATAAAAACGACACTCGAAACAATCTTCAGAATCTGTTTGTATATAGGCCACTGTACCGGGATTATGCTTCTTCAAATTGTGAAAATAAATAGGATGTTTGGAAAAACATTCTTCAGAGGATCCCAACAAGAGTCCCATAGCATATTGTTTTGCACGCCAAGCTTGTTTGTAACTTGCATTGATTCCCAGCAAAGCATTCAAATCCCTTGATATTTCATTAGGCCTCCACCCCTTCGAACGAGTTTTTACCATAATGTCATGCAATATAGTACTCATGACTTCTTTATTTGCATGCTTATGATTTGGGTGTATCTGTAATGACGAACATGTGTGCACGTTGTTGAAAGTCCTGATTTCAAATTCATCGGTCGGATCAATGCGTTTTTCATATAAACTCCCAACTACAATTCTCAATTTGACAATATACCTCGTAACGGTTTTTGTTAGAATGTTTGGTCATAAACTGAAACTTTTCTCTGGTTGCTTTAAGACTCAAAGCAAATATTAGTTGTTGTTTGTTATCATACGTTTGACGAACAAATATATCATCATTTGGACCTAAACTGTGAAATGGCCCATGTTCAACAATGGGAGCAGGACAATTAGGTATGGGAGGCATACCGTAAAAGATATCTGAAGCTTTTTTTTTCGTTTGTGAACTCATCTTCTGACCAACCTTCATTTGACTCTTCATCGCCTGACAAAGTTTTGTCACACAGTCTTCCAAACTCATATAAATTTTCTTCTTCCACTGTATTCACTGCCACAGTTTCTTCTTGTGGACACTCTTCAACATTATAAGATACAATGTTTTCAACATTGTATGGTACAATCTAGTCAACCGCTTCTGTCAGTTCTACCTATCCCTCAAACACCTCCAAATACAAATGCACAATCTCCTTCGTTTCATACATTACATTTCTCAGTTGATGAACATCTGCTTCGTCTACAATATTCATAACATACCCATGAACCGGATGTTGAAATGACAATGATATATTACTATTGAACGTATTAGCCTTACTTTTAACCAAATCAAACAATATTCGATGGTCAAAATTAGGCGTAAGCAGTAAACCTAAGTTGTTAAACTTTGGTCTAACGTAGGTGTTAATTCCATTACTCATCTGCCAAAAACCCCTCGTACATAAAATAACAAAACTCATATTTTCTTTGAAAAAAATTTCAACACTAAAACCGATTGAATA